GTAGTAGATGGAGGTTGGCATGGAATGGTATCTTTTCAGTTCGTTCTTATTTTGGATCTTTCTTGGGACTTGTGGAGAGTTCATTCTTCTGAAAGATGGTGTGACACTGCAAATTGCCCCCACTGGTGGCATTTTTACTGTGGACGGTTGTGAGGGGACGGGCATTAACGATAGATAATCTCCGGAAAAAAGGCTTTTATGTTACCGAGTAGTGCTATATGTGTAGGAATGATGGGGAGACACATGACCACCTATTCATTCACTGTGACGGTGTCCGTTGGCTGTGGAATAGTATTCTGGCTTTTCAGAATATAGATTGGGTGTTGTCTAGACGTATTGAGGACGTGTTGCGGGCATGGAGGAGGAAACTCCGTGATAAAAATAACAAGCTTGTATGAAATCTTATCCGGAGATGCATTGTATGGTGTGTATGAAGAGAAAGGAACAACCGATACTTTGAAGACCAAATAAGGATCACAGAGCAATTTAGAGAATTATTTTATCTGACTTTGTATACTTGATTTAATGCAGCGACTAGTAACCCTATAGAGGGGCTACCTAACTTCATATCTTTCATTTCTTATTTAAACTGATATTACACTTCCTGTGTATTCTTTTTCATTAATAAAATTTTCTGATTATCTATCAAAAAAAGGGTAGCTACTCATGAGATGATAAAATTCGTTTTCACATCATAATGTTCTCCACTTTGCTCCAGCACAAATTAAAAACATTACAAGTTCTGATTTCTTTGTCTTATGAAATATGGAAGCTGAAATTGATGAGCAGAAGGCAGGCCTTTGATAACTCTCGCTATTCACTGATTCTAACTGAAGAAAAGTGCTACTATATATTGATCTTTACTTGCCAAAGAAAAAAGAAAAAAATTTAAAGAAGACTAAGGCTTGATGTTTATTCTATTTTGATGATGTTCGTTAACTCACTGTATAATGTATGTTATGCTTGTGTTTATTAGACAAAAGAATGCCATGTTCATTTATATTCTAAAGTTTTTATCTCAATTAATAGGTTTTGTTTGTATATGATGCTTGTTATGATTTGCAGATTTTAGGTATTAAGAGCATTTCGAAGAGACTCTCTATTTATAAAGAGGGTCTTATGCATAATAGAGTATTTAAATTTAGAAAGTAAATTTTTTTACACACTCCAACAAGCTCTTTATTTTGACCGTTTATTTTGTTTTTTTTCCTATAACATTGATCCTCATATCTTATTAAACATAATTTTTTTTTATATACTAATGGCCAATCAATTTAAATGTGATTTGAATTATTTAAATTGTAGAGTATTCAATTTTGAAACTTGTTAAATGCAATCATTGTTAATTAAGAATAGAGAGGAAGTTTGACTCTCTAAATTTGGAGAGTCAAACCCACTTTTCATTTTAAAAAGTTTCTTGTAACTTTCTAAAATAGAGTGTTGTGTTTAGGAGAGTCTCTTGGAGATACTCTAAGAAAGGCACACAAAGTATTGAATATTTGATAAATTTGCAATTTGTTCATGATTGACACCATCTTTATTAGACATGGATTTCCTATCATATAAACTATCTTGATTTATTGGATTTGTGGTTTCTTGTTTTTTTGGTGACATTAAACTTCCCTTTCAGTGGAAACTTTTGTTTTGCTTTACTAATTGTTCGCAACTATTTGTAACATGATAATACAAATATTAAGATCTTTGACTCAATAAATTTTGTTATTATTTATGTGAAATCATCCCTTAGGTAATCCACATTAATCATCAGTTTTTATTAATTGTGAAATACCCTACTGAAATTTACATTGTCACAGTTATAACTATTTTATTTATCAATTGATTCCTACATGAAGTTTTTGATTGTGCAAGTATCTATTATCTATCCCTGGATAATAGATTTAATGATAGGATTCGCTGATGGAAACCTTTGAGCAGCCTCTAGGGTGAGATGTGCAAAATTGTAGAAATCAAGACTCTCTTCTCTGGGTAGAGTTCAATTGTGTTACTGAGTTTTTGCACTTTCTGAATGGAGACTCTGACCATGCATCATAGAGCATTTCTTGAATTTCATTTTTCTTGCTATTCCACTTCCTGTTCTGGCTCTAGTCTTTCTTTCCAGCTTCCTGTAGTAATCCATTTTAGAAAGCTAGTTATGATTTAGTTTGACTCTCTTTTGCCCTTTCTCCTTCCAAAGGTAAATGTGGTGGCCCTTTTTCCTCTTTACAAATGGTTTCCTCAAGTATTCTGTCTCAGAATTGATCTTCCATTTAAGTAGGCATGCTAAGCTAAACTTAGTGGTGGACATGGACATGTATTGCATTCTTTTACATTTATTGGAAATGACATTGTATGGTGTTTCCCCTGAATTGCTTACGCTATCTATTGAATATTTTTATTTCAAAACAGTTGCAACGCTAAAAGGTCAAAATAATTTTCACTTGTTCGCTTTTCTAAGACTATCTATTGTGTTCCAACAGTAATAACAGCGAAAAAAATCATTGTGACATCCTGAAAAGATAAGCTGAACTTAGAAACTGTAATGGAAGTACTCTTTGGTTTTGACATAATGGTCCATTTACATATGTGATTTCAGTAATGGATGATTTCCTAACATATTTCCAAATAGAATTGCGTTAACCATATATGGACTTGCATCTAGCTCAAGCTTTCAAAAGGTTCAATCTGGTCGAACTTGTGCTTAATTTTGAAGTTTGCGTCTTGCCTTTGAGCTCAAACCAGATTGAAATTTTGAACATCAATAGCTCGAATTTTACTGAGTTGGGATCTGGTTATTTATGACTATAGTTTTGCTGTCCGTACTATTATACTCTTGATTATGGAGGCCATTTAACTGAAGGATTTTATAAGATGATGCTCTTTCTATGCATGGTGGGAAAATCTTCATATTCGCGACTGTACTTGCACTTGGAGCATTCATACTCACATACGCAATATGAAAGATACTGTGAGAGGTTAATACCCTTCCTAAAGTACAAGGTAGAGAAATAAATCGATCTAACTGAAAAATATACTCATACTGCAAAACTTTTGCATTCTGATATAAATGCTACTGTCACATCTCTGTTCATATTCTTGGAGCAGACAATACTTTACCATGTGGATAATATATGCCTCAAGCTAGAGTATAATTGTCCTATTTAGATTCTGGTCCAATGGATCAAGGTAGGAAGTTCCTATGAAAACCTTTCAATGGTTATAGATTAGTTTAAATTATTACTGTAAGTAGATGTTTTGGACGATCTCCCATGTTCATGATTATGCTTGTACTTTGTACCTGTACCTTTTCATTAAACATAGTAGGAACTTGTTGGGCTATGTTGTATGTCTATGCAATTTGTTGTCGATAATTTTAATATCTTAATGTCAATGATTTGTTATAAATGTCCCCTCAGGGCCAATGAGGTGAGTACCCGGTCGTAAACTTTAGGGCCCCGTGGAATTAGTCGAGGTGCGCTCAAGCTGGCCCGGACATCCACGGTTATAAAAAAAAAAAAAAAATGATTTGTTATAAATGTAATATAGTTTTTTTACAAATTGCAAAATCAGATATTAACTAACATTTTGGAGGATGTCTGAGTGCACATGTATTTTGTGCATTGAGCTGGATTGTGGATAGACACAGAACTAACAGCAAAATTGCCGCAATTTGTGGCTGGCATTGCAGGGAAAAATAGTTCCTCCAAGGGGACCAAATGATTTTGGCTGGGATCCAATTTTTCAACCCGATGGCTATGACCAAACGTAAGTACATCTTCCAACTCTGTGGCTCGATTCCTGTGAGTTTTAACACGTGGTTTTATTTATTGGTGACATGACAAGAAGATAACTATTCATTTTCAGTTATGCTGAAATGCCCAAGGAAGAGAAGAACAAAATTTCTCACCGTTCCCGGGCTCTTGCTTTGGTGAAATCCCACTTTGCTGAGGCTAAATATACTTTCGAAACCGAACCAAGTATCCAACAGTGAGATACATGCTTTCTTGGAACCATATATTTCATTTTATAAAAGCTACATGCCATTCAAGAAACACAGTCAGTTAATACTTTGCCGGTAACTTTGAAAATATTCAGGGTTATGATTGTTGTTTAATATTGTTGAAATTAAATGAATAACTTGTGTTAATTTCTAATGTCAAATTCTTCTCGAGTAACTTATAATATTATCTTACATTCGATATTTTTTAGCCATATGAAGATTACGCAGGTTTTGCCTTGATTTCAGTAGATTTATCATTTAACCTCGTGATTGTCAAGGTTTCCCTAGTGGAAATTATACCCCCACCCCATCTGAACCTAAAATAACCAATCATCCTGTCTGATATCTAGAATGATTACCATTGGTTATGTCTGTTCACTGTTGCAACCTAATTCCTGTACTTAAAACCCAACTGACTAATCAAGAATGGATAGAAAGGCTGAATATTTATGTGAGAGGCAAGATGATGTCCCATGAAAGTGAAGGAATACTGCAGCTAAATATTGAACCTTAGGTTTGTACACTTGTACTGATTATGACAGCTGCATTAGGGTGTTGATATACATGTACATATAACGTGGCTATGCATGTGTACTAGTTGGTGAATGCATTAAGAATTGGCCCCCAGTGTTATGGGAGGCCAAAAGCAAAAGCCTCACATGCTTTGTGGACCTAACCTCACATGCATGACTACTGTGTTTGAGCCATCTTTGCACGTGAGTTGGATACCCAGATCACCTTCAATTCCAAAGTGTCAGCATTTCTTGAGGTGGACAATCACATAGGTTTGATATGGTATGCTCGATACCTCTATAGAGTGTTCGTGTAAAATTTTTAGTAACTTTTTAGGAGGATTATTATTGGGTCCCAAGAAATGTGTGGTTAATAAATGGATAATAGCTGTGAACGTATATTTGAAATTAATGTTTGATTGAATACATAAAGTAGTTTTTAAATAATTTTTAATGTTTGAAGATCAGATATATAAGGTGGATTGGACAACATTGAATAATATTATGAAAGAAAAGAAAATGTTCACAAGTTTCTCCGTCCTTTGTCATTGAGCATACAAGTGTAAAGTTCGGAAATAAGAATATTTTGTTATAATGATAAGCAAAAGTAAGAGTTGGTGGGAATAATTTTCTCCACCAAACAAGGGGCGTGGAACATTTATCTCTTTAGGTACATTTGATTAATATACTGTTATTGATTGTCTGAGTTTATAGTACTTTTTATGTGATATGTTGCATATGTGATTGGACTTGTAATGAATCTTTTTAGGGTGGCGTGACAATTAAACTCTATAAAAACTTATAAAGGAATTTCCTTATTTTTCATTTTAGAAGTTCAAAAATAGAATTAGAAAGAAAAAAGAAGAATTAATAAAATATGAATTCTTATACATAAAATAATCCATTGAAGAATTGAGTAAATCCTCTTTTCAACTTAAACCCTGTCCATAGCTTCTTTCCTTGTATTCGAAAGTAATGTTTTCATCTTTAGCACCACGAATTTTGAATACATATATATATATATACATATATATATATATATGTATATATATATATATATATAACAAAGAAGCTGTACCATAAACTCGAAAATTTGAACATGCATACGTGATTAAGGCACAACTTCCTGCAAATGTTTGTGTTACACATATAAAAATACAAAAGTATGCTTAAACATACANCCTATCATATGTCTCCCCCTAGTGATAATGATATTCAAGGCAAGATCTCACTTTTTAAGAAGTTGAATATGCTCTGCTGGCAATCTGTCATTTCTATAAGGTCATAAAGAATAAAAACACTCATGATTAAGGTTAATGCTGTTTTCACATGCAGTAATTATCAAAATGAACAGCAGAAAGAGTAAAAACTCGTACATAAGAGTGACGTACGCCTATTTATCTACCAATAGTACTGGCAAGAATTCATTTTACCAAAAGAACAAGATAATAACTTTGCTAGTATGCATCATCTGTTCCAAAAGTCTCTTTTGACTTTTGATAATTCAAGTTTGGACATTCACACTATGGACTGTATGACTTAAGAAAAGCTAAAATACAAAAGAAGAAAAGAAAAATCACAAAATCATCTTAAAGTTCCATAAAAGACTTTGCCAACACCAAGTATACTGATGGCTCTTACAACAGGTAACAGTAATATGGTGGGTTTAGGAAATGGATGAGGCTGAGAAATCTTGGCCTTGGACAGAATATGGAGAAAAACAAGGATTTGAACAACGCTTCAGCGCCTGCTCCCAGCATGCCGCTGTTGAACTTTCGACTGGAGCAGGCCGAGGTTGCACAACAATGGCGATAATGGGATGAAGAGTAGTGAATAAAAATGTAAACTTCCAATTGTGGAAGTAAAACAGATAGATGGCACAGAAACAATGGATGTAATATGATATAGGGTAATGTTTTGTAGTAAAAGTTGAATCGTTCTTTATGTAATTGGGTGGGATTGTTAGCACTGGCGACCACTGCGGCAAGTAAGGGCACCAGCGCCGGAAGTAATGGAGCTAATCATTGATGAAGACTTGGCACCTAAGCTTGAAGCTCTGGCATAGCTTGCTGAAGCTCCAGCTCCGGATGGGATGAAATATGCCCCATTAAGCATCAGGTCACCTTCAGATCTCCAGTTCCAACCCTTCCATTGACTTTCAGCAGTTTCAACTCTCTTAGTCACCTGATCAAACCAGTTCGACATAAATTTTGATCAAATTGTTCAAGTACGGATTTTATTATTGTGATTATCATGAATCATGATACTGCAGTACCTCTTTTGCAAAAGGGTTGACTGGGGCAAGATATCTGTTGCCTTGGCTGTTGATGGTTGGCTCTGCACTGCCACCAATGGCGTACATCTCCCAATGAGTGTAGTCGTTGTTCACCACATGGAAATATCCGTGTCTGCACCTGCATTTTTCGTACACAGTTCTTGTATTAGATTTCTGCGCCATTTAAGGCAATAGATGCCTAAAACAATGCCATTTAACATAAAACTCATTGCCTTGGCATTCTTTGAATGAGACCCTCTCCAAAATGGTTGTAGGCAATGGTTACTTGCATTTGCTTGTCTCTCACATAAGAATCGCTGTGACCCAAGAGTATAACCTGTTCCCATTTAACACACAAAACCATCAGCATCATCCAAAAGGGTAAATTCTTACAGCAAATACTGAAGAAAACTCGGGATCCAGGAGGGGGTGGGGGTTCCCAAGTTGACACACCTCGTTGTGGTGGGTAAAAAAATTGTTGGAGATGGTAATGGCAGTCGAGCCCATGACAGCATCAACAAGACCGTCAGCACAGTTAGAGAGCGAGTTATGATCCACCCAAATATGGCTTGACCCGAAGATGGAAACAGCATCACCATCAGCCTTAGTCCTCCAGCCATAATGTGATGGTGAACTCCTTACCATAGCATTTCCAGTTGGTTTACAATCATGGATGTGCAGACCATGAATAATCACATTAGTAATAAACTGAATCGTAATACACGCTCCATTAGCAATGTGCACATTGACTCCACGCCCATCAATAGTCTTAAAGCTGTTCATGATAAGTTCTTGCTTCAGTGTTATAACCATGTCGCGCTTGAACACGATCCAGAGAGGCTCATCTTGGATAACAGCGTGGCGTAGAGTGCCAGGCCTCGGGTTAACAACATCGTTATCACTGGGATCGGTGACTACATAGAAGTTGCCATCCCGACCCCCAATGGCATTACGCCCAAAACCGATACCACAGTCAGCAAGGCGCTTGCGATTCTGTTGCCAATTGGGATCACAACGCCAACAATCATCGATAGGATTGCCTGTTGCACATGAGAAAAATCCGAGTTTTCGCCTCTCGGTGCTGTTTTTAGTGATCCTGTGAATGCACAAAGCTTTTCGTCATCGGCGTTTCATGCATTTCACATGCATGCACGCACATAAATACGCACAACATGACTATAATCGAATATTAGACACGTGCACAATAAAATTAAATACACAATAAAACTAAATAATCAAATGGTAACTTTTAATTATTCAACTACATGGATTAACACCTCAAGGAAAAGTTATTAAGTTCTGTATCACATTGTTCTTAATAAAGTATACAATCAAGACCAACATTGACCTCTTAAAAAGTCTATAGTAGTAAAGGTGAAACTGCAAAAGAATCATGATTATTAAACCTTTCATAGAAAAACATCCACTCAATAAAAGTACTAAAATATGTGATCATTAACAAATGTTGACTAGCGTATGACACGGATCTTAGCATCTTACTTCAGCAACATGTAGATGAACTGAACTTAAGCACATGATAGACCCAAAATGCATCAGTTAAGAATATGATTCTCAAACTCGACATTACAAAGAACAAAATTTTAGCTTCTTTTTCTTTTTTATCATTGTCCACCGTGAATATTTAGGCCATGTGGGTTATGTTCGGTTGATGGACCACAATAAAGAACAATGAATGGTACTTGGTCACTAAATGCTCAAAAAGTGATTTTCAAGAATTCTTAAAAGAGAAAATTAAAGGAACAACAAACAAAATGAGACAGATCGAACCCACATTTCAACTGATGCTGCAACTTCTTCTGGGTTATCCACTGCATGTTCATTCAAAGCGTCCTCTTCAATTTCTCCTAACCTGAACCATCAATATTTATTACACTTAAACATACAAATACATTCGTACAACATCGTACAAACTAAGGTTCATTCTTAATGAATTTGGGTCGTCTACGTCAATTCTTTTTCGCCTTCGTTTAAAATTATGGTTTGCATTAATTGTTCACATGGGATGTCAGCAACCGACACTTATAATGTATTATTTGGTGGATAAAAAAGTGAGGTCGCACTGCCATAAAAACACACACACACACAGAGTACTGTACACTGCTCAAGGTAGTGGTGAGAGCAATATATACATACATCTATACATACAAATCCTTACCGTTAAAACTGGAGAGATGGTCAACTAATAAATGACTTTTGGGTGAGGCGACACGGGGTTGTGGTAGTAAAAGTACAAAAATACCCATCTGGATTTTAGTAAGATAAAATAGTTGGCGGGGAATAAACTGAATTGTGAGGGGGCAATTATGGGAAAAGACGGGGTTCGGGAGCCAATGATGATTTTCTATACAGAGGAATCCGAGGAGACTATTGAAGGATTGGTGTATTTAACGGAATAAACGGTTGAGATCTGGTAAATATTGATCAGAACGGCTGGGATTCATTTTTTTGAGAGCGAATTAGAGATCCAACGGTTCACATTTAATCTGTTCTAACGAGAGAAATAATATGGAGGGCTAGGATTTGGGGAGAATTTATTAATCCAATGAGAGTTGAGAAAATGATTAGGTGCCGTTTTACTGAGTCGACTCAGTAGTAAAAAACCTTAACAAGATTACTGAGTTAAAATGCTGAGTTTTCCTAACCTTGCCGCCATTGTTGCGTTCTCTGAGCTCTGCAACTGCTCTTTTTCGACAGCACTGTAAAATCAGGTTAAAAAACAGAGCTCCATTAGAAGAGTTTTCTAAAATTCTGCTCAATTAGGTGAATTTCTATGTTTTGAAGGAAAATATTACCAAAAATAACAAATCACATTCAACCAAAGATCAGAAAAGAGCAAATGCATAGAGTGTACCAATCACACTCGGTAAGAAACAGCATAGAGTGTACCAAAATGCATTGCACACACAAAATGCAGAAAATTCCAAAGCGTTTACAGGCAAACAAACCTAATTTTCGAGGCTTCATCTTTCTGAACTCTGGCTACAACGCCAATGAAGAGCATTAACAGGAGCAAAGAGCACAGAGACACACATTTCTTCGAAAATCCCATTGCCAATTCCACAACTCTGTATCTCTCTCTCTATATATACGGCTGTGCCTGAGTGTGTATATAATGGAGCAGAAATTTGAAGAGAAAAAATGGAAATCTCTTACGATAAGAGAAGAGAGAATGCAGGGAGGGACAGGTGAGAGAGACGAAGTACTGCAGGCAACGTAAAGGCCCCGTTTTATAGACTGTAACCTCACAAACCGTTAAAATTAACGACCGTTAACTAACTAAATAATTTTCATTGACCATGGTTAGGGTCGGCTAACTGTGGTTATGGTTTTACTTACTCCCATCATTTTTAACATTTTTAAGTTTTAAACCAACTTACCAACCGCTGAAAAGTGAAAACCGATGGTGTCCATCCTTTCACTACTTCAATGCTTGATTTCACTCTATGTTAAGAGCAATGTTATTTTTCACGTCTCCCTCCGTACTGCAAATCAGCCTTGAACTTTAAGTCGAACTTCCCTTATTGTTCTTCTTATTGGCAGTTTGCCGGAGTAGCATCTACCGTGCTTATAGACTCTATTAATTTTCTGTTGTATCATGAAAAATAGACACTCGAACTAAACCTCAAGCACTTATGGTAAAAAGACGAATCTGTTTTAAAGAAAATATGTTCACATAGGCCTCGATTTCAAAGTTCATTCGCTCTTTTGTTATTTCCTACAAGTTTAGATTACTTGTTCTGTTTTTTTAATGTAATTAATAAAATTATTTAATCTGTAATAATTTGGTTAACAGATACAACCTCCAACTATGAGATTTGATCGTCAAGTCACGACATGGGATATGCGAAATTAGGTCTGTATTGTAGACATACATTTTGTCTATTGAGGTTTAATTCCTATGTGAATTTATTGTGTGTTCCAACAATTTGAACAAAAACTTCTTTTAAAAAGTACTTAAGTTGAATGATAGTACCAATATAGGCCGAGACATTTGTGAGGATTAGAATTAGTGACACATGTTGATAATGTTGTTTTAAAGTTTCAATTATGTAGGATCGGGATTTAACCCTTTTCATCTGAAAATTAATTAGTGACCAATAAGAGGTTAAATCTTCGATCATCATCATTTGAATGATACAATATATGAATTTGAGAGCAACATTGTTACTTTTTAACATACGATACTCAATTAATACAACAATTTTTGGGTCAACTTGTCATGCTACGTTTTTCTTCTTGACTAGAGAAGGGGTCGTAGTGATCTGTCTCGAGCAACTATTTACGAAAATTATGAGTCTCGACTCACTAGTAATACCCAAACAAACCCTAAAGTAGGTTGATTAGTTATTAGAGTTTACAACTACTTTTTAACTACTTTTACGGAGGGAGTTGATACGGGTACCTTTCCAATTAGGAACAGAATTCACGGGCCACAGCTGATTCTACGGATTTATTATATTACTACAACAAAGGCGAATTTTGTATTTTTCTTTATATTTTATTAGGGTTTGTGTTGAAAATTGATTTGGAGTGGAGTTTAAGGCATTTTTTTTTCTGTTTTCGGGACTCGGATGTGAGTAGACATTAAATTGTCTTGTACTCAATTCGAGTAAATAGACCTTGAGTTGGATTGAATTTTTGCTCGACTTGCAGATTTTCTGGTTCATTCCTACTACATGGCCCAATGTCTCCTACACGTTTCATTTGGGTTTTACGTATGAATTTTTTGATTAAAGGCGTGTTCGGTAGATATTAAAATCGAATTAAAATTGAAAAACTAGTCGTTATGTTGACTTTTATTAGACGAGTGAAACCCAATAACGATTATATTTTCAATTTTAATTAGATTTTAATCACTCTCAGACATACTCTAAGGTGGAGAAATTTATTTATTTTTAATGAGATTATAATTTAAATGTGGATAGAGCAAAATTAAATTGATATTTATAACTTTATAGAGCCATGTATTGGATTGAATTACACCTTTTGATATTATTCTTTCCATGCAAATACAAAGTGGCTCCCATCATTACAATAATTCATGCTTGTAACATATTACATATTCCCATATTTTTACTCTTCCTAACATGCCCAAAAAGGTTCATACACCAAATAATGATATTTTCATCCTACCACAATGCATAACCATCCATGGCATGCACCATTCAATGATGCAAACTTACATATAAATTTCGTCTATCGAGTAAAAATTCTTGTTCAAATGCTAATTATAGTAGTGTATACCCGAGTTCCATTGTTTGAGTAAAATTCTTGTTCGAAGCATTCGAGGAAGCCCACCTTCCACTACTTTAACTAATGAGAAACAATTTTTTTGTGAAAGAAATGACCGTGACTCAACAAGTAATATACATGTTGATATCGTAATAGCTTGTGTGTGTTCTTGTGATTTTGTATATGCAATGAATTTGTCACGGTATTGTTATTTAACGTAGGTTTCAATAATCAAAATTTTGAATTATTTCATATTGTAGTTCTTGTTTTGTATCATAAAAAGTAAACTAAATTAATCATGTTATGCTACTAGTTTTGGGCACACACAATACTTAAAGAGAGAAAGGGAGTGGGGTTAGCTTGCTTTACTCACTTTTCACTTAAATAACACGTTTTTACATAATGAAAAGTAAAAGCTACATTTTGTAGGCTATGTTTGGCCTAAGCCAATACAAATACACCTTCATATATATATTTTTAATAATCCTTCCCTCCCGAACAGGGACGGATCCATGACCAGATTACAAACCGGACTAATACGTGTAAAAAAAAAAAAAAANAAAAAAAAATCAGTTGGGGGCGGGGGGGCCTATAGCCCAGCCCAACCCCCCCTCCACCTGTCCCTGCTCTCGAACGAGAATGATAATTTCCCCGTGTTCTTTAAACTTCATTTAAATCATAGTCATTCAATAACGGTTTCTTAGAAATGTGTAATTGATTATTAACTATTTTTTATATATCAATGCTCAAGCCTCATAGTGATTTTTCACTACATTATAATACCCTCCTTGAAAAAAAGTTTCATTTTTAGTAGTTGATATTCCAAAACGACTAAAATCCTAGATACTAGTATTTTCAGCCCTCGTCGTGCCCCGATCCTATTCCTGAATTTTCTAGAAATATAGAAGTTGATAAAGTGAAAATGTTGATGGCTCAACAAAAGCAATGTCCATGTCCCCCTACCATATACATGTAGCACATGCTACTTAATTTGAACCATACAATTTGCTCAATAATCTATCAAAAATGCATTGGATATTCCTAAATAGATCTATATTTCAGTTGATCTAATACCACTAATTAATGTATACATACACTGCAAACTCCATTTAATTGGTTGGTTCATGTAAAATCTACCTTGCACCACCCCCATGTGGAAAGTGGTACCATAGGGACACCCCATCCATCACATCATTTACTTTAATTTTCTTCTTATTAAGACGTGTCATAATAATAGCCAAAATTAAGGAAAAAAATAGTTGTTTTAAATTTTTGTACCGATGCACGTATAAAGCATTAACGAATTAAGGATAGATAATGTTGATGTCTAAAAATGTAATGTGACTTTTTTTTTTTTTTTAACAAATTGGAACAAAGTATATAATTTGCATAAAAGGAAAGTGGTCTAGAGAGATGAATTCTCGCTTTCAATGGAGTTTGAGCTCTGCTTTGGGAGGAGACTATTGGTTCCTATTTATAAGAAGGAAGATCACACCACTTGGTCGACGTCGACTCATGTCTTTTCAGCTACAGTGTTGTCCTAGAAGTACGTGCCACTTATCCAAGTTTTTGCTGCTTTGATTAGTCGCTGAGATCGGCCTCGTCAGCTCATCATTACGTCTAGGCTTCAGCTATGCCATCAGGCAATGATGGTCGATATCAAGTAATCATCACTCAATTGGTTGAAGAAGAGGTGCTGACATCAAAGTCGCCCAGTGTCAATCCAGGAGTTGTGGATGGAGGGGCGTGATGGAGCGATAGGGATTTAGGCATCATTATGTCTTTGTAGAATACGACGGTCACAGGTCCGAGCTGATCTCACAACTAATGTGTCCATCCTGAATGTTTAGAGTATGTAGGGTGATCTGGAAAATATTTATTTTAATGATCAGGTCGGAACTCGGACTCCAACAAACAACATCATGAAACCCATGTATTTTCAATTTTTCATTCGATCTTGTTTAATATTGAAGCCGTATAAAAGAACTCAAGATTACTTCATGAAATACCTGATATAATTATAAAAGATGTTTCCACGCCAATTTAAATGCTTGACAATAGCAAGTTCTAAGTTGTATCTAATCTAAACATAATTGTCTTTTCATGAAGAGAAAAAGTGGACCATTGTGTTCCTACTTAGCTTGTGCTAGGCAGCAAATACACACTGAAATTCAAAGCCAGAGTAAGGAAAATAATTTTTATGTCCATACATGTAGGTACACATAAAGGCATAAATGTTAAGGCCATTGTGCATCCACAGAGTTATCAATTGTGACAAGAATTTAATAGCCTTGCCAAACCAATTGTTAAGAATACACCATGACAAGGTAACTCGCGTGTCTCGATAAACTAGATGCTTATCGTACGTGTTTAATAAATAATATTAAATATTTTTATTAAATAATAACAACTGCATAATGAGTAAATGATCGTTTCTTTTCTCTTCTCATATTTTGAAATTCTCAAATCTATATCGACCACCTTAGCATATACGAATTTTGTCAGTCTTAACTTGAGAACGACATCAATAGTTTCGTCATTTTGTGACCCCGTCCTTACTTATAACGGAATAATTTATTCATAACTTCCACTAAAATGCATAACACCCAAAATGGATGAATTTTTTTTTTCTTTGAACCGGATCCACTTCGTGTGGCGGATCGGGTCTTGTGAAGTCCGGTAACCCAGAGATGGAACTGAACTGTTAACCAATCAGTGGTATAATTAGTTGACCTATCTTGTCACTTTTTTATTCCCCCTTCCCCTCCTAATTTACTTGAAATTAAAGAAACGCGACATAGCTGTAAAATGTACTAT